AATGATAACTTAACAATCTGACCATTGTAACAATGCCACTTTAGACATGGACATCACATATCAGAACCTAACATACGGACCAAGAAAAATGAAAAGCATTACAAATTGATGGTAGAATTCCTAATAAGGTATTAATGTAATTACTACAATATCACTAAATGATCTGACAAACATGACAAATGTACTTTATAACATAAACTCCTCTGTATTGTTTGATGATATAATTCACTTAGAAGCTGTTCAGAACACATACAATTAGGCTCTTTTCAGCAATTTTAGTCATTATCAGTATAATAAAAAATTAATGGAAGGGTCATTTTGAGCCTTGAGAGGCTCCAGGCCCCTAGGCTGCAGGGTCATCCCTGCCTTAAAGTATATGTTACATTTAGTTACCTCTAAGGTCATGATTAATCATATATTAGACAGTTACCAGGCCAGTCTAGCCAAGGAATTCTTGGTTATGCCATCTTATATCAACAGTTATAATATAAGGTGGTTCCTTAGTTACCAGGCCAGTCTAGCCGAGGAATTCTTGGTTATGCCATATTATATCTACAGTTACGATATAAGGTGGTTCCTTAGTTACCAGGCCAGTCTAGCCGAGGAATTCTTGGTTATGCCATCTTATATCTACAGTTACGATATGAGGTGGTTCCTTAGTTACCAGCCCAGTCTAGCCGAGGAATTCTTGGTTATGCCATCTTATATCTACAGTTACGATATGAGGTGGTTCCTTAGTTACCAGGCCAGTCTAGCCGAGGAATTCTTGGTTATGCCATCTTATATCTACAGTTACGATATGAGGTGGTTCCTTAGTTACCAGGCCAGTCTAGCCGAGGAATTCTTGGTTATGCCATCTTATATCTACAGTTACGATATGAGGTGGTTCCTTAGTTACCAGGCCAGTCTAGCCAAGGAATTCTTGGTTAAGCCATCTTATATCTACAGTTATGATATAGGGTGGTTCCTTAGTTACCAGGCCAGTCTAGCCGAGGAATTCTTGGTTATGCCATCTTATATCTACAGTTATGATATGAGGTGGTTCCTTAGTTACCAGGCCAGTCTAGCCGAGGAATTCTTGGTTATGCCATCTTATATCTACAGTTACGATATGAGGTGGTTCCTTATTACCAGGCCAGTCTAGCCGAGGAATTCTTGGTTAAGCCATCTTATATCTACAGTTATGATATAGGGTGGTTCCTTAGTTACCAGGCCAGTCTAGCCGAGGAATTCTTGGTTATGCCATCTTATATCTACAGTTATGATATGAGGTGGTTCCTTAGTTCTAGCCGAGGAATTCTTGGTTATGCCATCTTATATCTACAGTTATGATATGCCCAGCCCAGTCTAGCCGAGGAATTCTTGGTTATGCCATCTTATATCTACAGTTATGATATGAGGTGGTTCCTTAGTTACCAGGCCAGTCTAGCCGAGGAATTCTTGGTTATGCCATCTTATATCTACAGTTATGATATGAGGTGGTTCCTTAGTTACCAGGCCAGTCTAGCCGAGGAATTCTTGGTTATGCCATCTTATATCTACAGTTATGATATAGGGTGGTTCCTTACGGTTGTTTTCTATCTACAGGTGATGACAGGCTTTTCGCCACATAATTATATTGTTGTATCCTATGGGAAAACATACCAGATAGCAATGTCGCACAGTTTTCCTGTATATGGAAATATGTATGAAGAGGTAACTGTTGTAACCTGGTATGGAAAACTAAGCCGCAGAAAAGTACGGCAATCATTCGTTTTATCTTTATACCGTAAAAGGATTATAGATACTTGATAAATACAACTATAAATGATTAATCATATTCAATAATGATTTCACAGTGCTGTAACATGACAGGGTCATTAGATCAACATTCTGGTATCTATATTTTGTGATGGGAGAGACACAGTGATGTAACATGACAGGGTCATCAGATCAACATTCTGGTATCTATATTTTGTGATGGGAGAGACACAGTGATGTAACATCACAGGGTCATTAGATCAACATTCTGGTATCTATATTTTGTGATGGGAGAGACACAGTGATGTAACATGACAGGGTCATCAGATCAACATTCTAGTATCTATATTTTTTAATAGGAGAGACACAGTGCTGTAACATGACAGGGTCATCAGATCAACATTCTGGTATCTATATTTTGTGATGGGAGAGACACAGTGCTGTAACATGACAGGGTCATTAGATCAACATTCTGGTATCTATATTTTGTGATGGGAGAGACACAGTGCTGTAACATGACAGGGTCATCAGATCAACATTCTGGTATCTATATTTTGTGATGGGAGAGACACAGTGCTGTAACATGACAGGGTCATTAGATCAACATTCTGGTATCTATATTTTGTGATGGGAGAGACACAGTGCTGTAACATGACAGGGTCATCAGATCAACATTCTGGTATCTATATTGTGTGATGGGAGAGACACAGTGCTGTAACATGACAGGGTCATCAGATCAACATTCTGGTATCTATATTTTGTGATGGGAGAGACACAGTGCTGTAACATGACAGGGTCATCAGATCAACATTCTGGTATCTATATTTTGTAATAGGAGAGACACAGTACTGTAACATGACAGGGTTATTATATCAACATTCTGGTATCTATATTTTGTGATGGGAGAGACACAGTGCTGTAACATGACAGGGTCATTAGATCAACATTCTGGTATCTATATTTTGTGATGGGAGAGACACAGTGCTGTAACATGACAGGGTCATCAGATCAACATTCTGGTATCTATATTTTGTGGTGGGAGAGACACAGTACTGTAACGTCACAGGGTCATTAGATCAACATTCTAGTATCTATATTTTGTGATGGGAGAGACACAGTGCTGTAACATGACAGGGTTATTATATCAACATTCTAGTATCTATATTTTGTGATGGGAGAGACACAGTGCTGTAACATGACAGGGTCATCAGATCAACATTCTGGTATCTATATTTTGTGGTGGGAGAGACACAGTACTGTAACGTCACAGGGTCATTAGATCAACATTCTGGTATCTATATTTTGTGATGGGAGAGACACAGTGATGTAACATGACAGGGTTATTATATCAACATTCTAGTATCTATATTTTGTGATGGGAGAGACACAGTGCTGTAACATGACAGGGTCATTAGATCAACATTCTGGTATCTATATTTTGTGGTAGTAGGGACACAGTACTGTAACGTCACAGGGTTATTATATCAACATTCTAGTATCTATATTTTGTAATAGGAGAGACACAGTACTGTAACATGACAGGGTCATCAGATCAACATTCTAGTATCTATATTTTGTGATGGGAGAGACACAGTGCTGTAACATGACAGGGTCATCAGATCAACATTCTAGTATCTATATTTTGTGATGGGAGAGACACAGTGCTGTAACATGACAGGTTCATCAAATCAACATTCTAGTATCTATATTTTGTGGTAGTAGAGACACAGTACTGTAACATGACAGGGTTATTATATCAACATTCTAGTATCTATATTTTGTGATAGGAGAGACACAATACTGTAACGTCACAGGGTCATCAGATCAACATTCTAGTATCTATATTTTGTGATAGGAGAGACACAGTGCTGTAACATGACAGGGTCATTAGATCAACATTCTAGTATCTATATTTTGTGATAGGAGAGACACAGTGCTGTAACATGACAGGGTCATTAGATCAACATTCTAGTATCTATATTTTGTGGTGGGAGAGACACAGTGCTGTAACATGACAGGGTCATTAGATCAACATTCTAGTATCTATATTTTGTGGTGGGAGAGACACAGTACTGTAATATGACAGGGTCATTAGATCAACATTCTAGTATCTATATTTTGTGATGGGAGAGACACAGTGCTGTAACATGACAGGGTCATCAGATCAACATTCTAGTATCTATATTTTGTGATGGGAGAGACACAGTGCTGTAACATGACAGGGTCATTATATCAACATTCACAATGCTGTAAAATACAGTTGCAACAAACAAACATTGTAGTCTTTATTTTGTGGTGGGAGTGACAATGTTGTATTGAAAAGATTGAGACCTCAGTGCTGCCTGTTTGTAATATGATCCCAATTCGTGCAACAGTTATAAAGTCCCTATCAGCAGAAATTTGAGATGTGTGGAGACAAAAAATAAGCTGAGAAATAGGAGGTAACTGGTGTGTAGAGGTCAGCATGTTTCTGGGTTTTACATGTGCCATGCTTACAAAGTGTAGCAAGGTCATGAAGGAAAACTTCCAGCAGTTAGAATGAGACATCTGTTTTCTCTGTAACTAATTTTTGAAGTGAACACACACATCATGTAACAGATAGGTTTGTAGGAGGGATTTAATTAAACAAATCTTTATGTTTGTATCAGAACAAATATTGGCATCTGTCACAGTAGTATCTTTTCTCAGGCCTGTTATTTTGGAAACGATTCTCAGTAGGATAATAGCTGAATATTTTCAGTACACATATCCTTGTTAAAATAGTTCTGACAAAGTTCTGTGATTAAACCATCAGCTTGTTGCCATTTATACTTTTTGTTATAAAAAAATCCTTGCTTAAATATATATATTTACATTGATAGATGAAATCATTAATGTTTGGTCTTCAGAAAAGATCACTTTAAGCATTTACAAGCTTGAATTAACATATGCTTTTCAATGGTCTTATACATTGTCCCTTTCAGCTGTCTCCTGTGCTATTTATAGAATATATACCCCTTTGTTTTGTTTTTGTACTTACTTAGAGGAAAGTTAATTATGAGAGTTTAAGAAATAATTTATGTAAAACTACTGAATGACAACCTGACTATAATAACCATCTGATTTCTAAAATTGATCCTTAACTCTGAAATAAATCAATACAGATGTAGTTACTAGATAGTCAAAAGTTTCTTGATGACAAAAGGTTTTCTAAGGCAGGTGATAATGTAGTTAAGGAAGCAGAGGTAATTCATTTTAATATGTGAACTGTTTTGTTTCAGGTAATGCCCTGGTCAAGTCCGGTCAAACACAGATACAGATAGGTAATGCAGAACGTGAATTCACTCAAGCCACTGTCAATAACTTCCTACAGCCCCTGAAAAGCTTCCTGGAAGGGGATATGAAAACAATACAGGTAAATTTCAGTAACATTACAGGGATTGTAGGAGTTTAGTTTTTGTCGCCTGTTGTGTCATATGTCATAAATATCACACGCCTAATACACATGTAATAATTAAGCCTGTTAAATGGTGGGACACAACAAGTCGTGAATGGTAGGTTTGAGGTTTATTTACTGTCGACGTCAGTTTAGCCTGTGAAGGAGATGACAGGACAGTTTTACACACAAAAATTCTTCCCTGAAGTATACACATTCTGGAGCAAATAATATAATGACATCATAGAAAAGGAGACATGTGAGTACATACCACTCACTGATCACTACTTGGTACCGTTGCAAAATATGTAAAAGATCCTCTGGACGCAAAGAAACCTACACGGGACATTTCACAAAGGTTCATCTAGGTTACATGGTAGAACCTGAGATTTTACAAGATGAGACCAGAGCTAAAGCTGAGAAACCCAAACAAATAAATAGACCAATGGAAACACTCACTAACGAACAGTTGGAGAGAGTCAAACCCGGGGCATCACTGAAACTGACACTCACTAATGAACAGTTGGAGAGAGTCAAACCCGCACGGGGCATCATTGAATCTGACACTCACTAACGAACAGTTGGAGAGAGTCAAACCCTTCACGGGGCATCACTGAAACTAACACTCACTAACGAACAGTTGGAGAGTGTCAAACCCGCACGGGGCATCACTGTAACTGACACTCACTAACGAACAGTTGGAGGGAGTCAAACCCGCACGGGGCATCACTGACACCTGACCTATGTCAAAGATCCGTCTGATTGTTGATATCACTAAGGATAAAGCAGGACTTGGAACCTAGTGATTCCGAGGACAGCTCTAGCAGCACCAATTCATCAGAACACAGGGAGGACAGATGGTTGATCCTGAAACCTTGGGGTATGAACATGAAACGTCGTCCACCTCAACAGTATGGCTGGACAAAAACCCAAAATAACTATACACAAAAGACTGGTCTCAAAACAACAATTTTATCCAGTAGTTTATTAAAAACTACAAGAGTTCAAAATCCCATATGGACATAAGTGCATATACAATATTCATGATAGATCGTATTAAGCCTGATGGCATCACTATATTGTGCATTTCATAACCATTTCTATGACGTCATTATATTATTTGCTCCAGAATTTGTATACTTCAGGGTATAATTTTATGTGTAAAACTGTCCTGTCGAAGCCTTCACAGGTGAAACTCGAGTAGACAGTAAATAAACTTCGAACCTACCATCCCCAACTTGTTGTGTCCCACCACTTCCTAGATGTATTATAACCCCTAGTGGGATGCCCTGCATACCCTCGGGTATCCTAGCATGTGGATGACTGAACATCTCTGAACCCTAAACCTCCGGCATTGGCTCTCTCTTTGGAATTTTGAGGAAGTCTGTTGTGGCATCATAAAGTTGTCACACATGTATAATGTTACACTATCGTCTCTGTGAAAATAAAGTCTGTTCTTTAGGGAAATTAGTTCAAGAGTTTTCACTTATTTCTTAGAAGTATGGGTTATATGATGAATAGGATCTTATACTTGTGTAGATGTAATATTGAATCTATTAAGCTTGTTCCATGTCACTAAAGGCTCATGACATATCAAATTATTGAACTTCTTTACAAAATTCCATATTGCATTGGCACAATCGAGTTTAAGATATTATATATATGTAATCTATATGATTCATTTCTTACTATTTTCAGTAAATGTTACTTGTTAATGTATTTGAGGTATTTATCAAATTGCTGTAAATATGTGCATATAAATTTCAATTTTTAGAAAATTCTTAATTTCAAAAATATGATGCATGCTATTTATACGAACAAGACAGAAATTCATGATCAGACTAGGATCCATGATAGGCCAATGGTTCCCATATCAAAAAGGATTTGTCTACAATGCAGTCAAACATGTTCTTTTTTATTGTATTTGAGTCTCATTTCAGTTATAGAACTTGGTAAATTAATCATGGCGAGTATCCTGAACATTGCAGATATTCATGTCAACATAAGCAATATTTCCATTGTAGAATTGTAGCAGTGCATAATATAGTAATCACAGATTGCAATGGCCTATTCTATTTTTAGAAATGTTGAACAAACAGAAGTAAGTTTGCTACATAATTTCCTGATCAAAATGTGTATTGAGTTGTGAATTAGAAAAATTACACAATGTTGATGTCATGTGTAAAAAAATATCACTAGGTAATTTTCAACCACAGTAGTGATCATTGCAGAATCATGTTGATTCATCCTCCATTTTGTAACGTTGTAGTATTGTCATCAAGTGGATAAGAAACAGGACAGGCAGGATATATACCTAGTAGATGTCTTTCTGATGTTAGATAGTGTTTATCCATGCTGTAAGAATCAAGTGAGGGATACAATCTACAATCGTAGCTTTGATATTTGTAACTTTCCTCCCTTTATATACGATATTTTCCATATAAGCCTTGGCGGTTGGGCGTGCATGTGCGGTTTACACCGGCAGAATGAAAAAAAAAATGAAGCATACTAGTACATCAATACGAGACGGTACCAAGTGTTTTACAAGTCCATCAGGTGTTAATGACTGAAACAAATCGTCTAGAACCATCATTTGCAACTGTATACAGGATGATTTTAAGATTCAAAATAAAAATAACATTATTGTGGATTTAATTAATCATACCTTTTAATATGAATCACAATAATATCTTCTGAACTTCTGTGGTTGCTTTGGAAGCCTTAATGGAAGTTTACAATAGTCTGTTGCATCCTGGGATTGATAGGTCATCAGTTTATGTGCCATGCTTGATTACAATGAAAAAGGCTTTGTGTAACATTATGGGACTATTAGAATGTTTTCAGCATGCGAGAGTCTTCACTAATATTTAACAGTACAGACACCAATGGAGATATTTTGAAGTAAACCGTATGTAATGTCAGGACCTTTATCAGTGGATGCTCCCAAGCCAAACGAGTCAGATAATTGCTCTTTGACATTTTTTAAACACATCAATAAAATAAAGGATTATCTGTGTATATTTCATTTGTGAACTGATATCAAATGTTTCACTGATGATCTTGATAAATTGCCTTCCGTTGTTTGTTATATCTACAAAATTTGGTCAAATAACAGTTACCACATCATACGAAATGGTACAACTTATATTCTGGTACGCCTAATAAGTGGATCCAACGGAAAAAATCATTAAAAATTGGCTTGGAGGCTTATATACCAGTGCAGTTTATAACCTGGGTGGTAGGCAGTTTATAACCTGGATGGTAGGCAGTTGATAACCTAGGTGGTAGGCAGTTTATAACCTAGGTGGTAGGCAGTTTATAACCTGGGTGGTAGGCAGTTGATAACCTAGGTGGTAGGCAGTTTATAACCTAGGTGGTAGGCAGTTTATAACCTGGATGGTAGGCAGTTGATAACCTAGGTGGTAGGCAGTTTATAACCTGGGTGGTAGGCAGTTGATAACCTGGATGGTAGATGTATTTAGACTTTTTTGGGATAAGACATGAAGGGAAACTTTAAGAGGTTTGTAGACTCTGACATCATCTGTTGTAAATTGCTAGGTACTTCTCCGAGTAAAAATTGTGATTTTAGTGTTATCTTTGTGTAGCATAGTTTTATGTATTATATAAAGATTGGTGATATCACAAGGAATCGAATACAACAAGGTTTTCCTGGACTTGGTCTTGATTATCAAGACGACCTCCAAAGATTCTGTCCTCCAACAGTCATGTCAAGGTGTGAAGATTGAATTCGTGTCTGCCTGGTAATAAGCTTTTCTAGCACACAGCTTGTGAAGTAACATCATTTTCTTCCTTTTCTGATCAGCAGATGCTGACAAGTGGTTTGACCAAGCCAAGTGTCTATACTGGATGGCAAATTTATTTTCCAAAAACATTATATATATTAATACTCTCTCTCTCTCTCTTTTTTTTTTTTTTTTTTTCTCTTCTTCTTCCAAAAATAAATACAAGTGTACATAACATGCAAGTGGACATAATAGGCAAATATTTATGGTAACATGAAATAGTCAATACATGTACCTTCAAGTCGTCTGGTCTGGGAAGTCATCTGCAGTGGAACAGCATACACCATATATCTCTGGTGATTTCAGGAGTCCAAAATGTCAACTTTGTTAAAATTAATGACCTTGGCCAACTTTCAAGATGCCATGAATGCTATACTTAGATTTTTACAACCACTTTGTTGGTATGGCCTGGAGTTTGAATCTTACCTGGTCTGGGGCTGCGGTATCCAGAGATGAATTTAGTTCCATGACGAAAGTTATCACCTGTAGCCAGGGTAACATGATGTAGGCTGTCTATCTGGTTTGATCAATGTTGGCATGAAGTTAGGACAATGGAGTTTGTTAAAATCAATTATTTCAATCCATCCTTCACTATGGTCAGATAGGTACAATTGTACTAATTAATGATTTCAACCCCTCACTAATACCAGAAGGGTATGATTGTACAAATTCATGATTTCAACCCCTCACTAGGGTCAGAAGGGTATGATTGTACAAATTAGTGATTTCAACTCCTCACTGAGGTCAGAAGGGTACAACTGTACAAATTAATGATTTCAACTCCTCACTAAGGTCAGAAAAAGTAGAATAGATAAATGATTTCAACATTTGCTTAGATCAGAAGGGTAAAATAATGATTTCAACTCCAAACTGAGGTCAAAAGAGTAGTATAAATTACTACAGTAATGATTTCAACCCCTGGCTCAAAACAGAAGGGTTAGTTAGTATCATGATTTCGACCCCTCTTTTAAGGTCAGAAGGGTTGTATAAACTAATTATTTCACCCCCCTCACTAAGGTCATAAGGGAAGTAGAATGATTTCCACTGCTCACTGAGCTCAGAAATGCTGCATGTATAATGATTTCAACCCTTTCCTGTGGTAAAAAGTGCAGAAGGTATAATGATTTCTACCCCTTCCTGTGGTAAGAAATAATGGTATTATGTGTTATGAATTCAAACTCTTCCTGTGGTCAGAAATTATAGTATTATGTATGATGAATTCAAACTCTTCCTGTGGTCGGAAATAATGGTATTATGTATTATGAATTCAAACTCTTCCTGTGGTCAGAAATAATGGTATTATGTATGATGAATTCAAACTCTTCCTGTGGTCAGAAATAATGGTATTATGTATGATGAATTCAAACTCTTCCTGTGGTCAGAAATAATGGTATTATGTATGATGAATTCAAACTCTTCCTGTGGTCAGAAATAATGGTATTATGTATGATGAATTCAAACTCTTCCTGTGGTCAGAAATAATGGTATTATGTAAGATGAATTCAAACTCTTCCTGTGGTCAGAAATAATGGTATTATGTATGATGAATTCAAACTCTTCCTGTGGTCAGAAATAATGGTATTATGTATGATGAATTCAAACTCTTCCTGTGGTCAGAAATAATGGTATTATGTATGATGAATTCAAACTCTTCCTGTGGTCAGAAATAATGGTATTATGTATGATGAATTCAAACTCTTCCTGTGGTCGGAAATAATCATCAGACAACTACAGATGTTGAAGACACTTTTTAGAAAAATAAAGTTTTAGTTGCAATATTTGTTGAGTTTTAGACACCTGATTGTTATTAGTAACTCAATACCCCAACTGCTTGGACGAATTCCAATGTTTTCTGTCAGAATAACATCTTCAAACATGTGCCTGTTTATCTTCATTCTTACACATGTATACAGCACTCTCATTAAACACTGCAACTGTTTCCTTTGTTGTTAGTTAAATTTTTTATGATGATATGAAATGTTACCATTTCTACCACTTCATCACTACCAATGTGCCTATGTTGACTAAAGTCAACTGAATATCAACTGTGACATCACATTAAATACCTCCACAGGAAGTGGGATTTTCAGGTGTCAGTATGAAGTATTTTTCAATGATCAAATGTCATTTTCAATTTTGGTTTTAAATTAACAAAATTTATATGACAGCAAATGCATAACATAGATCACTTTTAACCACTCTGTAATTTTTGTTATATTTGTTTCAGAAAGAAAAGAAGATTTTAGAAGTAAAACGATTAGACTTAGATGCTTCTAAAAATAGATTGAGGAAAGCAAAATCCACCGCAAGTCAACAACAGGTAAGATTATGTACTGGGATACTAATCAGGGGTCTAGCACTATTTATCTTAGGCTGTCGTCATTGACATGTATAATCATGTTATTGATTCATATTGAATTGTATAGTGAAGGAGCATTTCAAATTTTATAGTTATTCCCAAAAAATTATATGATACTCTTTCATTAGGAACACTTTTTATTCTTTCATTTAATTTCAAAATAGGTTCAAACTTTGTGTCTTGATTTACGAAATTTGTGAAAGTCTAAGTCAGTTCTAAAACCATAAACAAATAAACATACAGTATGTCTGTCCTGTCTTTTAGTAATATAGAGTTATCTGTTATTAGAGCTGGTACTGATTGTCGCATCAAAAGTTTGTGTGAGAAAATTTGGCATTTTTCTCATGACATGATTCTCACAAACTAACGACATAACAATGAATACCTGCTCACAAGGGCAGATAACTCTGCATTATTGAAATATGGAATACAGACTGCCTTCACAATTTTTAAAGTTCTTGTGATTAATTAGCTCCATGTTGTTTGGTACAACAGCTGTGTTTTTGACAGCTGCCATTTTTCTGGACATTGTACAGGCAGTCAGTACAGTGATCTTTATTGATTAGAAGAAACAGCTGTAATATCAGTTTTGAAATATGAACTTTAATTTATCAAATGATATATATTTCACTGCTGGAATAATGAGCATTTAGGTATCTTTATCTCTCTGGTATCAAAACTTATAAAAACTTTTGATTTTCAAATTGTACAAGGTGCCAGTGGGGTCTTTAGGCAATAAATCTGGTAGTAACAGAAAGATAAACATCAGTTGTAAAACGTTAGCACCTCTTGATATCCAAACATGGTAACCAGTTTATATCCTATGAAAAAATCATGATGAGTATTATCCATTTAAAGTTATCATTGTCATAATAAGGGTAAGGAACTTCGGATATAAGAAATATTGTATTGGCTCTGTTATTATTCTGATTTAGACAAGTTTTAAGTACATGTGGCCATGGGGAGACATAATTACACAAGATTCTCAGACTTGTGTGAAAACATGTGGCTGTTAAGTAAGATTAAAAGATTTTCAAAAAATTTAATGCACAGAAATCTATAATGAGAGCACAGAGTTAAGTGGAGTTAAGTGGGAATGATCACATCCTGAATTGTAATTCAACTTGTAACTCCATGTACCAGGTGTAGAGGATATTAAGAGGGGACAACTGCAACTTTATATCATTATTTTCAGAATAGTTAAAAAAATGTTTTACAATTAGTCTGTTTATATGTTTTTATTATAAATGTGTAGCTATATTACAAAATATTTTATTTAGTATGGTCATGTGTTGGAATGTCAGGGTGTACTTAGCTTCTCTGGCTGAAACGTTGATTATATAATTAGCTGATTTGATTATGCAATATTTATAGGATGTAGGGTCACTACTTGTGGTCACTGTGATCTAGCAGTGTGATAAATATTACATCATATGTATTTTATAAGAATTCATGTACCACATATTTTATGCATATGATATATAAGACTATATCTAGCCTGGCTCGTGTTCCCGCATTAATGCTTAATGTGACTCTGCAATGATGCTTTACATATATTGTAATAATTACAATACATAGATACAGGCTAATAAATGGGGACAGGTTTGTGAATGTGAGTGGGCAAAAGGGAAATGGGATTGACTGATATTGAGTGTGTGTACCCTAATGAGTTTAATAGTAGGGGAGGCTGTAAGTGAGTGAAATAAGGGGCTTGATTGATGTTGAATACCGTAATGAGTTAAATAAAAGGACTTAAGACTACTGGTAGAATAGATGGCAAAAAGCAGGATTTCAGTTATATTGATGTTATGGTTTTGAACATATAAGTATCTCTAGGAATTCGTCCAAAGTTTGGTTTATGAATAGTATGCCAAACATTATGTCCTACAGGAATCCCACAATTAGATGGTTAATATGAATATACAGCCAGCCAATGCCTCTTTTGAGAATCCCTTCTAAGTTACCAGTAGATGGACATGTCCCCTGGGAGTCTGATACTAGTATTTATACAGAACCAGGCTGCTTATCCTTGGAATTTTAAGTAGTCCCCTCCCACACCATGGATAGTCAGCTACTGAGGAAATTCCCCTCTTAGTCAGTTATACAACCGTTTAGAAGTATCCTCAAAAACAGTGGCTATCTATAGCTATCCAAATACACATTCTCAGAGCTTGGAAACTTGCATATCGCCATCCCTACCTGAATTACTTAAAACAATCGGCCTATTTGACATGTCACCCCTAAAAGTCCTCCTTCAAACAGAGTTATAGAACCAGCATCAGTACCACATTTCCTGTTGTACCTTTGGAGACTCATTATGTTAGGCATCACAATTAGCACACATATGATGGATGTTATTTATATAATCTGTCCCCTAGACGGTATATAAATAACTAATGATCATGTATTGGTATTTGTCTGCTAACCTTATGGGACCTCATATTCTGAAGTAATGCATATAGGGTGTAACTATATTTACGTGACTCTTAAAATCACAACAGATACATAAATAGGGGGTATATGGGAAAGTGTTACGTATATTATTCATATGTATCTAGCTCCTTTATCTGGTGACTGTTGTATTTACACCTGTATATGTGTTTATCATAAGTATTTACACCTACCAGGTATATATGTGTTTATCATAAGTATTTACACCTACCAGGTATAGATGTGTTTATCATAAGTATTTACACCTACCAGGTATATATGTGTTTATCAAAAGTATTTATACCTACCAGGTATATATGTGATTATCATAAGTATTCACACCTACCAGGTATATATATATGTGTTTATCATAAGTTTTATGTTGCACCATGTGTAACTTGTGCATCATGTGTACGTCATATATATGTGTGTAAAGGAATAGAAAGGTCACACCTGTGGTTTTAATGTGTAACTAGTAAGCACATTTAGATGTGTACAATACATATATCTATTGTGTATCTGTGCAGTTATGTGTTCCCAACATTGCTGACAATGTAAGTGTAACACACACTTGTGTAATACCACCGGTCATTGGTACTACCTTGTGTTTGTATGACTTGTATATATAGCAGTGTCGGTAGGTTGTGATAACACACCATAATATCATGTGTTCTATATATATTTATTGTGTGAGTAAGGTATGTCCACCATATCATCATGAGTATTTTTGTATTTTCTATATAAATGGTTGTAGTGCGGGTAAGGCTGGGTATGACCACCATCGTGGGTACTATTTTGTAATGTGTGTCTGTCTTTTACAAGCCTAACTCCACTACCAACACCCTGACCCTCGTAGAGGTTAGTGACTCTTGTTTTCATGCATGGTTGTTGTCCATCCTTGTTTTGTTGATGTGTGTAGCTAGAGTAAGTATCACAGTCAGTTTTACTCAAAAACGAAATTGAAATCTTTTAATTTGGTTGTGTATTGTAGTACAATCCTAGCCAATTCTAATACATTGTATATATATATATATCTTTATGATTTACAGTCATCAGACTTTATGTCAGTATAGACCTGGTGGACAAAATAATGTGATGACTTATTGATTATTGTGCTCTACACACACTTTAATTCGATCCACAGGGATGATATTTTACTGTGTTAACATCTTAAAATTATGCAAATGATATCAGTGTTGCATTTAAGCTTACAATATGCAAAGTATAAAAAAGAGAGGCATCTCTATGATGACAATTTAGGTTATGAGGGCATATTTCTAATGTCAAGGACATAACGGAATGTGTAAAATGTCAAAGTCATAAGACAACAATGTGTATAATGTCAAGGTCATAAGACAACAATGTGTATAATGTCAAGGTCATAGGACAATGTGTATAATGTCTAGATCATGTCTGATGTCAAGGTCACTAGATTATGTATTTTCTGTTGAGGTCAAATGTTGACATATAATTTTAGTAGATATAAAATCAGACAGGTTTGGGTATGTCAAGATTATGTAAAGTTTGGATAAAGGTCACAAGTATATCTGTATAATACATCTATGTAGTAAGGTCCTTACTTATAATGTGTCAACATACGATCGTAAGGTTAGTGCCAATCCAGGTTCTCTATTGAGGAGTGTATTATTAAATGATAAGATGTTTCAGAGCTGTCTCTGCCTTGTGTTTGTGTAGAATTATGCGATATTGCTCACAAATAGTGTAATTAGACATATATAGCTAGTGACTTTATATTAAACAAGAAAGACATCATTTTCTGAACATTGTTTTTTAGTGTTTATGAGTAAACCTTTTTAGAAGAGGCCCAAGGCTAGACAAGTATTGATATATTAACATGTTGACAATGGTGTGTTAGTGATTTAAGGCGTTCAAGTAAGGCCACTGATCAGACTCCTGTCTGGTGTTAGTCCAACTCAATAATCTCATAGCTAATACTGTGGATGGCAGGAAAATCATAAAATACCAATTTCTGTTTAATACACATCATGGCGTCAGTATATGCTCCTTTTGGACCCTGTGCTTATTGATTATGTAGGGCTGTAGAAACATTGCCTGTATGTATATTATATATACAGCAAGGAACAAATTCTCTAGATGTATTTGTAAAAATTGACAGTGTTTATCTATACTTGTGAGTGTACTTGTTTCTATCTAAGTTCAGAATTTTGATGACCTCTGTTATAATAGTTTGTCATTCATGTTTTGTTTGTTATCAAGGAAAGGTGAGGTAACTAATTGATGTGATGAAACATTGGATGTTTATTTGAGGCAGTGATTGGTTAGGTAACTAATTGATGTGATGAAACATTGGATGTTTATTTGAGGCAGTGATTGGTTAGGTAACTAATTGATGTGATGAAACATTGGATGTTTATTTGAGGCAGTGATTGGTTAGGTAACTAATTGATGTGATGAAACATTGGATGTTTACTCGAGGCAGTGATTGGTTAGGTAACTAATTGATGTGATGAAACATTGGATGTTTACTTGAGACAGTGATTGGTTAGGTAACTAATTGATGTGATGAAACATTGGATGTTTACTTGAGACAGTGATTGGTTAGGTAACTAATTGATGTGATGAAACATTGGATGTTTACTTGAGACAGTGATTGGTTCGGTAACTGATCAATGCAGGGGAGTTTTTACATGATGAACTTGTGGTATATTTTAAATTTGGTTCAGAGCATGTATTTGTTACCTTCCTTTCAATAGGTTAGTCAACACCTTATGTATACTGTATCCTCCAGCACATCCACTATTTACTAAACTGTCACATATTACATGGGCTGAGCAGAGCATGAATTGACAAATACATGTACATATTATGCAAATGTTGCAACATTTCTGATATAGTTGTCCTCGGTGGCTATGAAATTGATAAAATGTATATATGTCACCATGCCGTAGAAAATCAGTTGTACGTGTATCAGTAAATAAACCCTGGATTCTTGAAGTAAAATTCTGATGAAGGTGTATTTATTTTGTCATCATTTGTAAATTTTTTTGTCCAGAGACATTTTATTATGGCCCTTTTACTTTTTTGGGCATTTAACTCTTGTTTTGAAGATTTCTGTAAGTTTTAGACTGATCAATAAGATAATTAGTATGCTTTATATGGTCATAAGTTAGATTTGATTTAGTCAGGACCATTTTGCCAGTTACATATCAAAAAGTTTTTAAATTGCCCTTCTTTTTTCTGACATTTTAATCTTATCCAGATCTCTTCCTGTCTCTCTCCCTATTTTCAACTGATCCCTTGGATAATTTTGGCAGACTTTGTTCCAATAACTCATTCTTTTGCTTCCTTCAGTGGTATTGTCATTTGATAATTATTCTTACACTTCATATTTTTACAACATTTTGATACAAGAATGTTGTCAGATAAAATGCTAGTATACACAGTTCCACTGTGCTGTACTATGATCAAGTCTTGGTATGTAGAGCTAGCAGTTTAGTTTTGAAAAAGAGATGACTGTTTAATTAACGATGATCTGTTTCTATTGATTTTACCTGTTGACAAGCCAAGTAGATGTATCCAGTCGGGAACGGAGGTCAGTGGGCTCTCCTCGTACCCTGTAACCATGGTAACGCATACCAACCCTGTTAATGCACCAATGAGATTTAGCTATTTGGAACTGCCTTTATTTTCGATTTGTACATTATTTAATTTAATTTTGATTATTTAGTTAAGTAGTTATCCCTGTTCCACTGGTAGATATAGGACAATCATTGTTATGTTGTTGACATTATAAACAGAGCTTGGTCACTTGGTACACACAAAGTTTGGCTGCCTCAGGTTCAAATCATGGCACATGGGCTGTTGTATTTTCCTCACTTCTTTTATGTATGGCCTTTAGTTCTATAATGTTCATATGTTCTGGATTGGAATACCAGGAAATCTGTTTATTGCATCCCCAATTATAACACATACCTAGACCATGCTACATATCTAAAAGAATTACAGCAGAAATTTGGAATTGTTCAAAGAAGACCTTTTAGTCTTGAACTAGAAGTCGTCTGTAGGTCTGTAATTAATTTTCCCCAACAATGGCCTTAAATTTCTCATATAAATCAGTTTTTTGGTTTGTTCGTTTTGTAGATATATGATAGATAGTGACTTATGAAATACCTCAATTTCATCATTATGTGAATTGTTGTTATACATGATACTCACAATGTTTCCTTTCCTGATTATTATAGCTGTAATGATCTGACAAGTCAGCCACATATTGGTATCTTTATGGTTTTGGAATCATAACGACATGTTCACAGCAGTACAGCTATTCTATGTTGCAGTTCATGTACCTATCTCAATGTAAAACCACACAGCAATAGGTGAATTGTACCGATCTATCTATTGATGAGAACAGCATGTATCGGACTTTTCAGTTATGCAGTTTCAGTTGTTGTGCCTAGCTTTCTTCTGGACGTTTTACATTCATTTTATTTCATAATTTGATTTAGGCACAGAAAGCACAGGAAATGCTGATTGAGTTTTATACCTACTGTTTGCAGACTGGTGTTAGGTAGAGGACTTATTGACTTGCCTGTCTATTGATCTATCCTGAGAGTACAACAGCACACTCCAGAAAACACAGTACAATAGTACCAGCCCTTTGTTATACTTTAAATCTTCTTTTCTGATTAGCTGAAGCAGTTTTAGAACAGACTACTGACTTATCCTAGTGTCTCTTGGATATACACATTAAAACAAACCCATTAACTGTTACTAGACTTTGCAATTATCTTTTTAAAAACTTTACTGCTGATCAAGTTATCCAGTACATTGTGTAAATCTAGTGATGTAAAATTTAATATTTTCTGGATCACTTAGAAATTAGTAGACTTTAAATTATTTAAGTTCACACAAATTTTCCATTCTTGATAAAATTTTTTGTAAAATTCTATCAACTTTCAGTTATTATACATACTCTTACTTTGAAAATGAAAAGCAACAGTGCATTTACGGCCATGGTGCAGTGATTGTAAATAAAAAACAAAAACGTATGTGAGATTTTTAGCTGACTACATCAAAACAAAAGAGGAGATAACTTATCAGATGTAAAGTTTCTGTGACTATATATCACCATTAAGTTTCTGTTTGTCAACCCAATGTTGTGTAGAAAACTATGCATGATACTGGCACAATGCACACATTGTGCTGTTGACTATATGTTTCAGAATTGTGTGTGCAGTTGACTGTAATCTTTTTCAGAATTCCATTAACTTTTCACATGTGATCTGTTCTAAATTTGTTTTATATCAGTGTTGTATATCTAGACGATATGAAAGGTTCTGTTGATTAAATGTCAGTGATGACTGAATATCCGAGCAGTAATTCTGTCCAACAAATGAAATACAATGCGATATTACATTGATGCGGACCAAGAATATGTGCATCAAAAAAGTATGAAAATCAATAGAATGATCTTTGATGTGTTGCTGTAATGATATTTCACTTTGACAACGAAACAGCACCATTTTCTGTTTGCTGTTCAATGCCGTTTCACCATTTTCTAACATTGTCTTATAGTCATGCAAATTTGAATAAAACAGTGTATGCATGCAACAAAGATATAGGAAGGCAACACACTTTATAAATCTTGAGCTCATTAGCATCTGGTTAGAAAAATTAGTGAATTTCCTATCAGTTTAAAAAGAAAACGACATTTAATTAGCCATTTCTTAAAAAAAATGTATATATATCATCAATTATAGAAATTTTGATGGAGGATTCCATTATTTTATCAAATTGGTAATTTCTGATATTGGTTCACTGGTAAAAGTACATATTAATTTGATGATGATGATATTGCAGGTAGTAAGTACTGTGCTTTTCTGGACCAGTAAACTACAATAGTTTCCTTTGAAGATGAATGTAACAATTCTATATAGTTATAAGCAGTGTTAACACAGCCACATGTGACTAAGAAGAAGTAGCAACTGATTTTAATGATTTTAAAAACTTCCTGAAAATGAATTGTGTTACAACTGTTGGTAAATGTACTATGTGTTTTAATGTGCCTCAGTGATGTAATCGGAAACACTTTTTGATGTTACAATAATAAGAATGACAGTATTCACTGTTACGTTTGTCTGTTTTTACATGGTATCTAATAATTTAGCATGCCTGTCTCTGGCAATATTACAAAGTTCCAAACACATATTCAAACTACTGAACCTGTACAATGTGAACTGTGACCTATGTTAACTTTGACCTATTGTTTGTGTTTGTGCGGACCAGGATGATGTCATTGCTCGAGTAAGACTTTTGTTTGTATCAGTAGATACAGCATGGTGGCTTGCATGCATAATTAGTCTTGTATTCAGCTTTATTTACATATTGGAAGTTTATATCAAATTTTGTATTCAATCATTATAGAGGATTTCTAAGTCTCTTCTTTAGGTCACCCGAGGGGAGGTCTCGGATGATCTATACATTACCTTTTGTTTGTCATTATCCATAAACAATTGACATTTTTTGGCTTGAAAATCCTTTAACTAATTGTAAAGAAATTTTGCAGAAACCTTCACCATTTTTGTGAATTATATGATTCCCACCCCCAGGGCATTTAGGATGGGACCAGAAGGGCTCAAATTAACATAAATTTTGAAATCTTCTTTTCATTATCGAGATACAATAGATTCAAATATTTTTCATTGATGGAAGGGTGCTTTACTGAAAATGTCACTTTCATGACCCCAGGGTCTTGCAGTAAGATATAGATAGGAAAATTATGTTTTTGAGCATGATTTTTTGTTTAATTTCTGTTGGGAAAAAATTAAAACTTAGTTAGAACTACAAACGTATTAAAATCCGGTGGCAGATAATTTTTTGCAAATACAAAATATGGTCCAAGTTATTTTACTTCAACAAAATTATTTTTAATATTACAACAACAAAAATGACAGTTTATAGAACTGAAGTGGCTGTTCTCAGACTTGAGCCTCCTGTTTTTTTGTTTCAGCAGTTTCAATAAAAACATATTAATATATTCTGCCATTTGGGTGCAATGAATATGATACTCAACAAGAAACCTTTGTATTTTATCAAAATTTTCAAAGTGAAAAAAAAAGTTTATATGTAAAAAAAAAAAACGTGTGAATTATTAGCATAATGGCAATGAACAAGAAGACATCTCCTATTTGATAATATCTGTTGTTGTTTGTAAGGCATTGTTTATAAAACTTATAAAAGTTAGATATAAAATATATTGTATGTAGAGGTAAAAAAATCAAATTTATTTATAAACTGTATTGTCTGCAGCAGTGGAGTTGTAGAATACCCACTTATTCAACATTAACTTTATTTACATCTCAAGAGAAAAATAAATCATCTCGTTGAATAATAAGATGGTATCATTTTTTCCCAAATTGATAACTTATAGTGTTTCAGTCTTTATGATAAAGAAATATCACCAGAAAGAATGTGTCACTTATGGAGATTACTGTATGGATTGGTAGCATATTTAAAAAATTAAATTTTGTGAAAATTCATGAAATAGGCTTGAAATAATCTAATGTGTTGTTTATATATCACAGTAAGTAACTTTTGAGAATGTGAGAAACATTTTGTAAGAAAATTTATTCAAATACACTGAACAGGTAAAAGATGATTTGTTTCTTCTTTTTGTATTTGAATGAAATTTTAAAACTTCTCCAATGAAATGAAGCAGCCACAAAAATGTACATTAATAATTTGAATGGTTAATATTAGTATGTAAACCTAGTGAATGAGTCTGATATCTTGTAAGTGGTTTGCCTGCTTCCTGTATTGACCCATTGTATATAGGCTTGCCTATTTATCTTTGTAGAATTTTCTGGGTTTGGACAAGTTTTTAGTGATTCTGTAATAATGCTTACCTGTGATTTGTTTTGATGTGTCGCAATGTGTACTTTGGTGGTAGTTGAATTATGATGTATTGCACTCTTTTGGGAAGTTTCACTGATAAGAAAAGTATTACTGTCACATTTTATCAATTGTGCACCATACAAACTAATAAATGTTGTCAGTGAATTTCATATGTAATAAATGATCAAAATCAGAATTGGAAGGATGAAATTTACAGTAATATAGGTATTTGTTATTATGAACTTAGATATGGATCAGTGTTTTGTTGAAGTGTATATAACTGTTTTTTTCCTTTCTCAGGCTGAAGCGGACTTACGGGTGGCCCAAGCGGAGTTTGACCGACAGGCAGAAATCACAAAGCTGTTGTTAGAGGGTGTCAGCAGCGCTCATGTATGTGATTTACAGTGTAATGTACTTAACCTGTCCTAATATGTGGTTATATATTAACATGTTAAACAGACAACAATCCAATGCCTGGTAATAAGCCACCCGAGCTATTGCTCACATTTGACTTTCAATTTTAATAAGAAGTGAAATGTTGACATCTTCATTTTTGTAGTCTTTAAGTTTGATACACCATTGATCGCTCTTACTAGCTTCTAATGTACACTAGTATATCAGTTTTCTGTCCACATATTTCTGTAATATATATACTGTGTCATGTCTTCTGTTTACATACCTGCAGGCCCATCACTTGCGGTGTCTGAATGACTTCATTGAGGCCCAGACAACCTACTACGCCCAGTGTTTGCTGTACATGCAAGATCTGCAGAGACAGCTGGGAAGGTAGGTCAAGGTTACCCCAAGGTGGAGAAAGTACACGGTTTCCTTTGAGGTTTACAAATATAATACACATAATAATATGACTGCATGAGTTGAAATACTTGTTCTTTTCATGTCTGGAGTTGAATTTTAAAGATTTTCATTGACCTAATGAGCAAATAAACATAACTGGCAACAAATGATTAAGCATTGCTAATTAATTGAGTGAAGTGTATGCATGCTTTACGCTGCCAACATATATGTGATATACATCATTTTCCTTCATTTAAATGCCTTGCTATATCTGCAAACATTGTAACTGTACTATTGATATGAAATATCTTAATAAATGCACATGTATGTAATAAGTTTGCACCTGTCTAACACCCTCCTGCCCCGCCTTGTATTGTACAGTTTACATGTTAAGGGTGTTATCTAATAAAAGTAGTGACAAGAACATCAAAGTAATAAATCAATTTACCTGGTTTACTGAGTTAGAGAAGTTCTCTTTATAATTATATTTCTTTGGTAAAAGAAAACAAACGGAATCTTGTGATAGTGTTATTAAGGAGGCTCAACCCTTAAACAATTAACAACTAGATTTTCTTTAAACTTTAACATGAGTATGCTATCATGTGAATATGATTTTCTGAAAATCTAAGCATTCCAAACACTTGTTCAATTTTTTATGAAAAATGCAAAAAAACTGATTATTCTCCAGATTTAAAGGAGAAGCGTGCAAAGTCAAAGTGGATAAAAATTTCCAAACTACCTGTCATGGTCAGCAATATGTTGCTTCACCATGATTAGTATTGTTATTATTCAGAGTTAAATTCATCCAGATGATGTTATAAAGATGTTACTTTATTGTTATCTTTTAGTAGTCACACCTTCCTTTCTAAATGAAGTTCCTTAATATGATGTTAAAATGTTTAGTATATTCTTCATTGCATTTAATTTCATTTCTAACCAAATTTCTTCGTATAATATTCAGTGGTATAACATTGTAGTATATCCTTTAATCTGTGTTCATATTAACTATATGTCCATTACACTGACTATATTTCCATTCCTCGCTGACTAGTAGTTCCGAGGGGGAATCAAGGTAAGTGATATCATATAGTTACAGTAGTCACAGACAACATTATCAGCTGTTTTGCTATTTCAGGTTTTTGAAAAAAATGTTTGCTTTTTGCATTTTCAAGAACTTTCTATTGCATGCATCTAGGTGTGGACTGGGCTGTTTCATTTTATGTGAGCGGGAAGCATAGCCATGGTACAAACTAAATACATTTGTGTATAGATATAGGACAAATATATGGAGACATTATAACATTTGACTTTTAAATAAAAATGGGATATAACTAAGTTTCTTTTTATTATTCAGCACTTGTGTCTGACTAAATGTTACTTTTTTTTATGATAATGATGTTAAAGCAAATCTTACTTTTATATCTTTAAACTTAATGCTGTTGATATACTAGAAACAAAGATTCACATACAGTTCAATGTTAGTAGGAAGGGGAGACAACTGTTGTAGAGATCATTCAATCAGAGGTCCATTTTACATTAAAGCAAGATTCATTAGAGAAAGAGCTAACATGTTTTCTGTATTTCATCTTTCCCTGATTGAATGTGGAGTGTAAATGATACTGCTGTGCACCATTGTGGTTTTACTGTCACCAGTGAGCTCCATTAGAGACTTGTAAACACTTGCTTCATCCCTACTGATATTTTTGTGGCTCCACTTTGCTTCTATATCATTAGTATGTCACTTCATAAAATTTCAACTATTGTTATAAATATCTTTATTGTGCTCATAAAATAGCTGACAAATAAAGTAAGTCATTACTAAATGTGTCAATGGTTTAATTTTTAAAAAGATGCAGATAAACAGGTCTTTACAAATATGTATGTAGTTTGGGAAGGGAGTGAACTCCTGGTGGTTGGCGCTGCCATGGCTTTGCTTCAGTGATATATATACAACATATATACTTTACAGTAATTAGTTGTATTATGAGACTGTTAGTTATCTCTGTAGTAGTGGATGGCACTAGTGTATACCTCATGTTTACCATCTTACCCTGAATAGCTTTCACAGATGTGTCTTATTGGTTAAAATGGACAGTTTTTAAAATTATCTGGAATTTTCTCACACAATTTCCAGTCTTTAATAAAGAAACCACAAATGTTCTCTTTTTCATATTTGAAAAGAGATTGTGGAGTAGTTTGGATATGCTTCAATTCATCAAAAATCTTCCTTACATTGTGTGAAAGTCTCAAAATGCCAATAAAAATGAAACTTTTGATTAGAATAAGAATATGTGAGGACTCTACTGCCATTCCTAGATCTACTCTAATGGTTTTCTTTCAGTGCTACAAGTGTTATGTTTCCAATACTCTCCTGTCCATCAGTTTGATTTTTCTATACTTAGTTTGTTTCCTTGGTTGGTTGAATGTTTTTGCTGTCGTTTCAGTTACAATGTCGGTGGCGGAAACACTGCGCCAAATACCTTGGGTCCAGGTATTTCAAATAACTTTTCCACCGATCCCATGATACCTAGTGCACCTCCCATGATACAAGTCATAGCTGCTACTCCAAACACAGAGAAAAAACAAGCCCGTGTTCTTTATGACTACGACTCGGCTGATAGCTCAGAGCTCTCCTTGTTGGCTGATGAGGTTAGCAGCACTCATGCTTCCGTAGCAGTCCCTGTCATGACCTTTAACCCCCTACATGTCCTTAGATCTTCCAAGGTTTTTGTTTCAGTTACCATGGCAGTGTCACTTTAAATTGACAGGCTAAATAGAATACAATTTTGAATTTAAAAAGGAAGGTTTGTTTCTGATTTAATACCAAAAGGGAACGCAAGTCAAAGTTTGAGAATCAGTTATACCTGACCTTTGCCCTCATTTTCCATTTAGTCATTTTCGAATTGACCTCATCAGGACTGCTCCAAATTTTATCAAGGGAAGGGAGGGAAAACTGATAGGTCTTACTTCCAATTATAGATATCTAAAAAGGAAAGCTGAGTGGTTTTCCTTGACCATGTAGTTATCTCCCTTTAGTTGTGTCTATTCAGTCAACAATGAGTTAGAAACATTACAGGACTTCATTAATGGTCTCTTTAATTCTGTTATAATAGATGATTATTTCTCAGAACATGCTCCGCATTTTTATTTTTTGCTATTGGTTGGAGTGTTGTATCATGTGAGTGCTTTGTACACCTCTCACAAAGCTTATACTGGCAGCACACACCTGGGTTAACTGCTTCAGGCTAACTTCATACCAAATTCATATGCCAACTAATGTCAATATGTATGACTGCCATGTTTTCCAACAAAATATTTGATTGTTTTTAAGAAAGCAGTTAACTCCATTGGCTTGTGTTATGTAAAATATATTTGGCTTGATATAAAACTGTACATTGATTTTGACCAAATCTGTCATGGATTTGATAAAAAAAAATTAAGTTGAATAAGTGATAAGAAATAATTGATGGGTTTGAAGTAAACAAAGCCATAAATGGTTGGTTAAATGTATATACCTCTTTTCCTGTTAGGCTTAATAAATCTTTTTTCCTGTTACATTGAAGCAAATGAAATGAGTTGTGGTAAGCTCTCACACATTTTCCTTTCTGAGGTTGAATTTAACACCTGCAGATCTATTGACAGAGAAAACTTCCAATGCAGAAGAAAAATAAAACCTTACATTCAGCCATAGGTTTTTAGATATTTACATGTCTAATTCCCAAATTAAACACTATTTAAGAACAGATTCCATTTGAAGGATTCAGAAAGCTGGAAAATGAGGGTAAAGGTCATGCAGTGCTAATAATCAGGTCAGGGGCACTGGGGTTGTTGAGTTCATGACAGTCTAAACTTTCTGTTTCAGATAAATATTGATCTGTAATGGAGGATTATGATTTGAACCAATCTGATAACAATTAACCTTGTGTTTCCATTGGGTGGAATGATGTCCTTATTGTAGATTATTCGTCCCAAAAGATAGGTCTTGAATGTATGTCCTAGTTATTGTTCTCAAAGTCATAATGTATTTAACATAATTTCATTCATAAAGTTATGGTCTATCCCTAACATTTATACATATCCAGAAATCTGCCTTGCCGTAGCCTGCTAATGACAACCCCATCCTGATCCTTCTAATAATGCAAGATTTATCTCCCTTGTTGAATATAACTCCATGGAATGCCTGCTTAGAGAACAGAAAGTTAATACATTATATCAATGATAATCAGATTCTGGTTAAACAGTATACATTTTATTTCTTAAATTTTATTGTTGTCAATTGAACTTGTTGGTGTTTAAGATTACCAGTAATGTTGTTACTTCTTGATATTAAATGCTGCTTTGCAAATTATAAACAACTTGCAACTTGCTGTCATTGGGAATGAATGCTTGTTGTTGTTAAATGTAGTTACAGTGGGCAACTCAGGAAGTCATTACTATGTGGTTCAGCATGCTTATGTTTGGTCATTGAGAGACATTTAAAACTTGTGCTGCAGTTCCGCTGTCATTGTCAGCTAAATAACTGATTAATGCCTTGTTGATATTGTCTAACAGTTGGTAGGTATTATACTTATATAGTATATATATGTTTATGTATAGCTTGACTACTGCAGGTTTTGTTTTTTTCTTTTCTTTTTTTTTTTTCTTGTCAATATTCATTTAAGAAATAGATACTGCTATTGTTGGGAATTCTTCCTTTCAATAACTAAACGGTGATAGTATTTAGTAGAAGGTGATGTGAAAGAAAAATAATCTATTACACTGAAGTAATTTAAACTAAAACATTTACATTATAAATCCAGAATCATGAACATTTGATGATTGATTGATGAAGTTTATTGTTTTAGGGTGTTTATTAACAGTAGTACACTGACAAGTTTCAGAAGGAAAAAAAATGAAATCATCTGTTCTATTTAGTACAGTTTAAGAATTACGTTTTAATTTTTTTGTTTACTTTTTTTTTTTTTTTCAAACTGTTCACAGTTAATAACAGTGCATCGACTTCCGGGTTTGGATCCTGATTGGCTAATGGCAGAAAGAGGCCCTCAGAAGGGGAAAGTACCAAGTACATATTTGGAAGTATTAGAATGATGCTAGGTCACTGTATAGTTGGACATCAGTAATTAACAACTCTGTTTTCACTATCGATTTATATAGAATGGGTTTACCATTGTAATCAAATTCTCCACACACATGCTCTCAGAATTTTGTTGCCATCTTCACTATTTTATAATTATGATGTGACTGATATGTCTAAGTTTTTGTTGTTGAGGATGTTGGTGATTTGTGTTCATGCATGGTTGGAAAATCATGTGTTAGATTTATGATAAAACATTGATAATTTTTTTAAATTATAATCATTAAAAATGTACATTTGACATATTTGAACAAAGATGTCACACATCAATTTTTTTATGACCCAGATTTTCTCATAACACATATTGATGCGCAATATCAGCACTGTGATATACAGAGGTATGAGATAGGAATTCATTAAATTGTAATTTTCATGACCTTCAGCAGACCAAAATTAAGGTCACATCAGATAGTTTTTGCTTACAATTGGAAACTATAGCATCAAAGTTTACTTAATGTACAAGGGTATCATAGCTTACAAGCTTTCTAATGAAGGTATGGCCAAGATGTGGAAGCAAACTTCTGGAAGATCAAGATTATTGGTTTTAGTTATGGTGAAGGCTTATATTTTTATTGTCTGTTATGGTTTTATTGTAGTTTTATGCTTTAAGCTTAATTCTTTAAAATTGTTGGTTTTTAATTTCGTTAATCTGTTGAAAACAGACATCAAGTGCATGTTTAAATTTATCAAGTAAAATATTGATGATTCAAAAGGCACCTGGTTTAAGAAAGTCGGGTACCACTTAGAATATACACAGTCTTGAATGTATGATTACCATTTTTAACACATTGCTAAGGTAGTTTAATCTCCTGAATCATTGCTTACTGTGATTGAAATGTGAGAAACTTACTTGTATTTTACCAAAATGAAACTTATTTAAAAATTCAATCATTTTACATTTATAAGGATCTGTTGTTTTTATTATCATAACTATTATTTCGCAGTAAAGCAAAAATATGGTGTCCCTGTAGTGTTATTGGTCCTACTGATGTGGTTTTTAGATTGTTATTTTAAACAATTATTGATTGAATATTAAAAGTGTGTGACAGTGCTGATGTTTTGATCAGCAGTGCATTCCATGTTAGGGCCTCCAGTGTATCTTATCAATATTTTAATCAGCTGAAACGGGCTCTACTGTTACACATATTCATACTTTTTAAAGCTATACAGGGTTGTGCTCTCCTTGATATCCAAAATGATTTATTTTCTTTAATCTATTTTGGATTGGAATGAAATCAGAATAGTGTAACAAAAACAAAATTGAACATAATTTTGTGTTGAAACTGATACATGTGTGAATCATGTACACGTAAATGTTGTACATTTTGTAATTCAGATTTTTTTAGGAAATCCCTTTATTCTTAACACACATAATTATTCCTTAAAGAAAAACAAAAACTAATCAAAAACAACACAAAAAAAACAAAATAACAAGATGTAACAGCGTAACACTTAATTTGTTGAAGACACTGGCAATGTTTTAGTACATAGGTAAACTGTAGATCATAGATAAAATTAAACTATAAAAGCGTTGAGACCTGTAAGAACTAGAGTAGAATTAAATCCAGTAATTTGGGTTGGATTTTTTAAGGCAAGTTCAGAACACCAATTGCAAAATTTTGATAAAACCCAATACTCGAGAGATATAGCAGGGTCCCAAAATTTGAATGAGTCCCACAGGAAAAGCTTGAGTTCAGGACTCAAATATCTGAGTCCCAAAAGTCATTGAAATCTACTGGACCAGAAGTCAAAGTAGTTATGTATCATTATAAATAATTTATCGTGTACAGATAATTAGCAAGCTCCACTGTACTTCATTACAGTTTTCTCTGTTGTCAAAACATGATATATATTTTAGTGATTACTAATAAAGAATTTTTTTTAAAAAACCTGGAGGATGCATGCATACATCAATATTAACTAACAATGGGAAAACTGGGAACTTGATTAGTTTGACTAAAACCTAACATTGTCATCTTACTGTATAAAATATCACATTATTGTGTGGATAACTCACAGGCCCCTGTGTTTTACTGTATATAGCTTGCATATCTGTACTTTTACTATTTATAGAACTTCAGAGGTCTCCATGTTCCCTACTCATACCCTATTGATAGCAGAGCATTTGATATTTACATACTGTATGGTAAATCACGGGTACTTGTCCTTTCTGAGTGTAGAATGCAACAAGCACCTGTGCATATACAGTTCAGGTCCCTGTGTTTTACTGGATATATTCTGTGTAGTAAATCACAGGTCCCTGTGTTTTACTGGATATATTCTGTGTAGTAAATCACAGGTTCCTGTGTTTTACTGGATATATTCTGTGTAGTAAATCACAGGTTCCTGTGTTTTACTGGATATATTCTGTGTAGTAAATCACAGGTCCCTGTGTTTTACTGGATATATTCTGTGTAGTAAATCACAGGTCCCTGTGTTTTACTGGATATATTCTGTGTAGTAAATCACAGGTCCCTGTGTTTTACTGGATATATTCTGTGTAGTAAATCACAGGTCCCTGTGTTTTACTGGATATATTCTGTGTAGTAAATCACAGGTCCCTGTGATACTTACATAAGATGCAACAGGCCCCTAAGTTCCCTACAAAGGGATTTATGGACCCTGTGTTTTACTTGATTCAATTTATGTACATACCAATCAGGTAAGTAACAGGTCCCTGTGGTTTTTTTCAACAAATCTCTTTATAGGTTACAGGTCCCTGTGCTTAAGACAATTAAAGTTTTTACTGTAATTTAAACAACTGTACAACTGATTCTTGTCAAGTGAGAATTATGAAAATATCAAATGTTGAATGAATGAGTGAATTAATAATTGTACATAAGATTTTAACTTTGATTTATTTGCATTAATTGATGTCAATTTTATCACTTGAATGCATAGTCTGTGCAATAGTTTGCTACAGAAGTTGAAATACTGAGAATGTTGACTAATGCACAGTACTCTGTGAATAAAGAGAGAATGACTATGCGATGACATTGTGGTTATTTAAGTATGTCACTAGGTACTCTCAATAAATCTCTATTTTTACTTGTTTTCAAATTTTTTTCAGTTTCATTTTAGTATCCCCATTGTCATCCCATGTACTGTTCCATTTCCTCCCACGAACACATGTTGTACAGTGAATTACTGACGAATATTTAATTGCAATGAAATCTAAAGTATTGCTTGTACATACAGTGTATTTATGTGTTTGTGAAGCACTGACATTGTAATTACAATTTAGAGATTGTTTTATATAAAAAGCCAAGTAGACATGTCACTCTCAGAGTTCTCACTAGTTTCCTGGAATGCTACCCTCTATATGTATGCTGTCAACAATTACCAAATTTTGCTTTTGATTTTCATATTGTAATCTGTAATTTAGAAAAAATGGGCTTAATAACCGTCACTTTGATGATATGATAGCACACAGAATTTGAATGATAGTCTAAAAGTTATCACATCCTTCCTGTTATTGCTTAGGTCACAGGAGACAATAAAGTGTCTTGTATTGTCATAAATCCTGCTTTAACACTAAGAAGAAATGTTCACAATTCAACCCAAATGTATAGTGTTTGCAGTAGCTAAAATTGACTTTTTCAAATTCATACAAATTCTAGTCTTCGTTCTAGCTGTAGGTTTTGATGTAAGTCTATTAAGCTTATGCTAACTATTGACATATGCTATAAAGACTACATTATGCTAGACATACATAATGTCAGTGCTGTTAAGACAAACATCCATATACATTAGTTATGACGTTGATAAACATAATGTATAGCAATGTCATCACAGGACTGTGCTAGCATACAAGTAATGTCATATCTAGTAAACAAAACAGTATTATGTAGCATACAAGTTATAACTTATGTCAAACTTAGCATACATTGTACAAGTTTTAATGTCAAAGGCAAAAATCTTATATAGATACTTCATGTATATTGCAATTAGTCACACAGTGTATAATATTGGTGCTGGCCTGTCACACAGTGTTGGCCCAGTAAGGTTGTTTACTGACTGTAGGAATCTAGGTTACACGATGCAATAGTGATGAGATTTGTACCCACTCCCTTGTACATTACCCTGGCCAGCAAGTCAGCCTGGGGCTGTACCTTGAAATTCTCTGTATATAGGGTTAAAGTATAGCCAACCCTCAAATAAACTTAATGAAACATGTACATTTTCTTTCTTTTTCTTTATATATGGTTTACAAATATACATATATATGACCATTAGCACTTATTCTTTTAAATCCTACCCCTCCAGTAGGAATGAATGTTTATTGCTCAAAGTTGATCTGAAGTATTCTTGGGTGAATGGAAATCAATCCTGTACAGAGGTTAAATCTTGGTCTCCTCTGGGATGGGGCCCAAAAGGGGAAATAAAGGAAATTCTTTAGAATTCTACTTCTCCTGTAAGAATGATTGGTCCAAATTGGGTCAGAAGTATTTTAGGGTGGAGGCAGATCAGTTCTGTATGAACAGTACAACTTAACCTCCTGAGGATTAGAGAGGTAGAGCCTAACACCAGAAATGTAAGTTGTTAAAAATCCTTTCCATAGAAGAATATTGTTCAAGTTTTGTCGGATGCAATTTTTATGAACAGTGAATCTGGTTTTGACCCAGTAACAACATTATTACAAAAATTAGTCATTTTTAAATTCTTTTTGAAATGAATAGTTAACTTAGCCAGGTGAGTGATGCAGGCCCCCGGAGCCTCTTGTTTTTGTGACCTTTATCTTGGCTAATCTTATTGATGATATTTACCTTGGTCAAAGCAGTTTGTGACATTAACTTTGGTCAAGAGCTTTCTGTAACATTAACCATACGGCCATTTGTGACATTGAGATTGCATGAGTATTGTTTGTGACATGGCCCAGGTTATGTGTGACATTGACATCTGCCTGAGTATTGTTTGTGACATTAACCATGGCCCAGGTTATGTGTGACATTGACATCTGCCTGAGTATTGTTTGTGACATTAACCATGGCCCAGGTTATGTGTGACATTGACATCTGCCTGAGTATTGTTTGTGACATTAACCATGGCCCAGGTTATGTGTGACATTGACATCTGCCTGAGAATTGTTTGTGACATAAACCATGGCCCAGGTTATGTGTGACATTGACATCTGCCTGAGTATTGTTTGTGACATTAACCATGGTCCAGGTTATGTGTGACATTGACATCTGCCTGAGTATTGTTTGTGACATTAACCATGGTCCAGGTTATGTGTGACATTGACATCTGCCTGAGTATTGTTTGTGACATTAACCATGGCCCAGGTTATGTGTGACATTGACATTTGCCTGAGTATTGTTTGTGACATTAACCATGGCCCAGGTTATGTGTGACATTGACATCTGCCTGAGTATTGTTTGTGACATTAACCATGGCCCAGGTTATGTGTGACATTGACATCTGCCTGAGTATTGTTTGTGACATTAACCATGGCCCAGGTTATGTGTGACATTGACATCTGCCTGAGTATTGTTTGTGACATTAACCATGGCCCAGGTTATGTGTGACATTGACATCTGCCTGAGTATTATTTGTGACATTAACCATGGCCCAGGTTATGTGTGACATTGACATCTGCCTGAGTATTATTTGTGACATTAACCATGGCCCAGGTTATGTGTGACATTGACATCTGCCTGAGTATTGTTTGTGACATTAACCATGGCCCAGGTTATGTGTGACATTGACATCTGCCTGAGTATTATTTGTGACATTAACCATGGCCCAGGTTATGTGTGACATTGACATCTGCCTGAGTATTGTTTGTGACATTAACCATGGCCCAGGTTATGTGTGACATTGACATCTGCCTGAGTATTATTTGTGACATTAACCATGGCCCAGGTTATGTGTGACATTGACATCTGCCTGAGTATTATTTGTGACATTAACCATGGCCCAGGTTATGTGTGACATTGACATCTGCCTGAGTATTATTTGTGATATTAACCATGGCCCAGGTTATGTGTGACATTGACATCTGCCTGAGTATTGTTTGTGACATTAACCATGGCCCAGGTTATGTGTGACATTGACATCTGCCTGAGTATTATTTGTGATATTATCCTTTGACTGGGGATAGTTAATGACAATGATATTTGACTAATATCTATTTGTGTCACTGACCTTCAACTGAAGTCTTTGATCACTGACAGGGGCTGTGTTTATAACTGGTTGATGACTTTGGTCCACATCAAAAAAAAATCTGAAAATCCCCACATTGCAACATAATCATAATCCAAACTCATATTCCATATATACTCATATAAAACTAGAGCGAAACATGAACAAAAGAAAGATCTACACGGTGACTCCTGAAAAGGTACAAAGTGAATAAGACCAGGAGTTCCGAAAGACTTAGCGTATTCTGGTTGATCGACGACACCTGCCATGTAAACCTTGGTCAATCCAAGTAAGTAATGACGCCTTCTCAAATGAGAACCAACAGGCAAACTAACGAGCATCAAACACGTCCAGCATCATAACATATAAAGAAAAAGAAAATTTCTCAACGAGATCACTATGTCGGCTATGAATACCACTGACTCCTTAAGTGGCAATTGGACAAGTTTTGCAAAGAAAAGGAATTATTCTCCGCATTTTGACTAAGAATACGCGGGGATACCGACATGTATACGAACGCAGAATCAAAAGAAAGATGAAATATATGAACAAAAGATTAACACTAATTCCGTGAAAAAGTAAAAAGAGATTAAAATCAGATGTTCCAGAATGATAAGCGTCTTTACTTTATCGATGACGCTCGCCATGTATATCTAGGTCAATCCACGTTTTATGTGCTCAAAACGAGGTAGACTGATGGTATGTTGTCGCCCCCTTTCTATTTTAATAAATGTCGGCATCCATCTTTGCGCTTTTCAAATTTTAAAGAATGGATATTATTTAGGAATGCAAAAAACAAAATAGTTTTAAAAAATGAAAAATATTTTTAGGGCTAAGCTGAGAGATGACATTTTGATCAAGTGGAGATCAAAGAAACATAGACGAATCTCGTGTCTTGATTTCAGATTTCTGTGGGCATATTCGATGGAAATGCTGGATTAGTTTGTGAGTTAAAGTCAAGATATCGTCAATATATCAAAAATAAGGAAGGCAAAGTCCTTGTCCACAAACGTCAGCAAAGCATAATTTCATATTTATTTGACTCGAAATGGACGGTCTTGGTATTAACAGTATTGTACTTTCAACTTACATTTAATATTTTATGTCTATGAAATCTGAACGTTTTCATTAATTATAGTTTAGAGTTAAAGACAGAGCTAGGATTGACATTAGCTTTGTTGATGTTCTGGAGTATGTCGTCTGGTTTGGTTGTTATAAACCTGACTCTCATTTGGAAACGTGACATTCCTTACTACTGTCGACCAAGATTTTATATGACAGGTATGCTCGATGAAGCAGATGACACTTGCCCTTCTGGAACTTATGGGCTTATTTTTCTTGTTCTTTTTCATGAGTTTCTGCGTAAATCTTTCTTGTGCTTACTTTTTTCTTTATTTCATCGATTTTTAATTTGTATTTGGGTTTTTCTGCAGATCTGTATTCCCTTAAGGATTTTTGTACGGTTTCTGACTGCATCACGGAACTCGGTATTATGTTTGTCAGATGCAAAATGTGGGTTTTTTCAAACATGATTCGCCATATTCCCGGTGTATCATGGCATTGTGAAAGCATGGTGAAATAAACCGTAGTCAAAACACCATAATGGTGAAGTGAAGCGCGCGCTATTTTACCATGGGATTCACTTTACCGTACGAACCGACCGAGGCGCGAAAGCGATCGTCGACCTAGTGCACGCGCAAAAGCTGAACGAGTTTGGTAGACCGCGTGGATGTAGTCTCTTGTTTCGTTCTTGTGCCAGTAGGATTTTGTGTTGGATGGCGCTGTCCATTGCTGAAGAAGCAATACCAGTATCTTTTATCAACTAGCCTTGTATCATGTGATGGCCTAAACATTGAATATTCTAAACCAAAGTGAAGCATTCAGAATTATTCTTTGGTTAGTAGACAAGAGCCCTGGTTTTGATTCTTGAACGAGCTAAACTTTTCAAGTTTCGGAACCAATCTTATTCAAACACTGCACTGTTCGTGGTAGTGATGTTGGGAATGATTATCCAAAGCGCTGATTAAGTTTAATTCCCCCTGGGTTGATATACCGATTACTTTAGTTGACATGCCATTGTGAGTGTCCCATGATGCAGTTCGAAAAGTTTATATATGTAGGTATACGACTTTCACGTGCATCACTTACATAATTAATGTCAAGTTATTCAGCAATAATGATCTGGTGTTCGAATTGATTTTATCGTTCATTCGCTTGTAATTAGGAAACATTACAACTTAACCTTTCCCCATAAATCCATAGTATTATAAAGGTAAGTGATAATGGGTTCGCACTGACAAATTATCAGCAAAACAGCCGAGTAAATTAGAAACAGGAATGTTGTAATAGAGTGAATGGCCACATTAATGACAACCCTGAAAGTTGTAATAGAATGAAGGGCCACATTAATGAGAACCAGGAATGTTGTAATAGAGTGAATGGCCGAGTTAATGAGAACCAGGAATGTTGTAATAGAGTGAATGGCCACATTAATGAGAACCACATTAATGAGAACCAGGAATGTTGTAATAGAGTGAATGGCCGAGTTAATGAGAACCAGGAATGTTGTAATAGAGTGAATGGCCACATCCATGACAACCATAAAAACTGTAATAGAGTGAATTTCCACATTAATGAGATCCCTGAAAGTTATAATAGAGTGAATTGACACATTAATGAGAACCAGGAATGTTGTAATAGGCTGAACGGCCACATTAATGAGAACCATGAAAGCTGTAATAGAGTGAATGGCCACATCCATGACAACCATAAAAACTGTAATAGAGTGAATTTCCACATTAATGAGATCCCTGAAAGTTGTAATAGAGTGAATTGACACATTAATGAGAACCAGGAATGTTGTAATAGAGTGAATGGCCACATCCATGACAACCCTGGAAGTTGTAATAGCGTGAAGGGCCACATTAATGAGAACCAGGAATGTTGTAATAGGCTGAATGGCCACATTAATGAGAACCAGGAATGTTGTAATAGAGTGAATTGACACATTAATGAGAACCCTTAATGTTGTAAT